TTTAAAGGGGGGCTTTCGCAGCACATAGCATCCAGGGTGAGCTTAAAACCCCAAATGATGGCTTCTTTTGCCCTTAGAAGACAATCTAAACTCTATTTCTTGACCCAGGGACCCATGGGATCTGGCCCCTGCCTGGTTGTCTGACCTCATCTTATACCCCACTCTCCTTCATTCCTGCCTTCCAGCCATGGAACCTTCTTGCAGCTCCTCAGACACCTCCAGCATACCTTCACTTTGGGGTCTTTGCACCTGCCCTTCACTTGCCCCAGATGTTCTTCCAGATTTTTGAATGACCAATTGTCATCATCCAGGTTTTCAGTGCAAAGAGGCCACTGCTACCCTATCTTAAACAGGTCCCTTCCCTTTCCATCTCCATCCACTGCTTTGTAATATTTCCTTAGTAGCACAAATCACTGTCTAAAATTATCTTACTTATGTGTTCACTTACTTAAAGTGTACCGCCTCTCTGTGGCCCTGCCCTATCCCAATTGGGATGTGAACTCCTTTAAGAGTAAAGCCTTTGTTAACCTTGACACAGCTGTAGCCCTAGAACCTAAAAAAAGTGCTTGGCACACAACAGTTGCCCAAGAAATATTTGTTGAATTAGGAATGTCTGAAAGAATGATCTCAAATTGGATTAATAGACCCCTCCTGGTGAGAGGACTCAGTGAAACAATGAAGGTCTTATTCTGGCTTGGTGGACTCACTCAGAACAAAAGTGCTTGGATTTCTGGGCTCTCTAAAGGCAAAAGTGGTCAACACCTGACCCCAACTTTTCAGTGTTTGTGGATGGGGATCTTTGTAACATTCTTGTAGAGATGGGGAATACTGTAATCCATTCAATATCTGATCTACTATTTATTGAACCCATTAAATATGAAAGCTCAATTCTAGATCCTGGAAATACAGCAATGAATAAATGGACAAAAATCTCTACCAGGTGCAATTGATGGTATGCACATAGTGGATGCAAATAGTATAGGAGTTTTAGAGTCAGAACGGCCCAGATTTTAGTTCCTGTACTACTGCATACTAAGTGTGTCTAGGAAAGTTCTTAGCCTTCACGCCTCCCACTTTCACCTGTACAATGGGCATGAAACCGAACTCATGGAATTGATGACAGGATCCAGGGAGAATGATGAAGGTAGACTTTTGGGCACAAGGAAGGAATGAATGGGACTTGTTTCCCTTCTACTTCCCCCTTGTGATTAAAATCACATTGTGTCCTTTGGAAGATTTAAACTGATCTCACACTGCCAAACCAGGAGCACATGCTTCAGCCAGGATCAAAGGTATTAGTTTCAAAGGAAGAGTTTGTGATGAATCCAGGCTCCTCTTCCAGCCCGGATTCAAAGCAGCTTCATCACACCTCCCCACCTGTTCTTTGTCAGCGAGGAAAGCTCTCTGAGGAGACACAATGTCCACAGTTCTGTCCATGCTTTATGCTCCGGAGCTGATTCATCATTAATGCCCACAGTGTCAGGCAGGGGTACACATAGTGAACCCTCCTGGAGTCTCCTTGTATTGCAGATGGGACATGTCAGAATGCATACAGAGGACACAGCATCCAAGAAACCCCTTTCTGGTTTCTTGTGATGTTGTGCCTTTGATGTGGAGCAGATCACACAAACCTCATGGATCTGTGCCCACTGAGCTGCTTCCCCAAGAAGAAAAGTGACTTGGTTTACTCTGTTAAACAGCAGTATCCCTTGGGTAGCCAAAGAATGTCACAGCACACAAAGATAGGCACCATCTAAAGCCAAATAGCTGGGGGACTGTTTTCCATGAAAACAGTTGTATTTTGTGCTTTTGAGTCATTTGGGCACTGTCCTTACATTTTTGACCTGCCAGCAAGTGTCCCCAAATAAAAGAAATCTCCTAGCATGCTCTGCTCCAAAAGGCACACACACAATTTACTAAACAGTTGGACTTGAAGCATGCTGTCAGCCAAAGGCTTGTTCAGAGTCAAGGCCACATAGCTGTTCCGAGCTGAGATCCAGAGCACAGTCAGTCATTTCCTTTGTTCAGATCAGGAATTTTAGTTAGCTACTCTGCACAGTTTCTCAGTATCATAGTCAGCAATAATAATAATAGTAGCTGGTATTTACTGAGGGCTTTCTACATCCTAAAATCTTTATACAAATCAATTTCTTTATTCCATATGAAGTAAGGAATATTTTTGTCCTCTTTGACAGATGAGGAAAATGAGGTACAAGACTCTGCTCAAAGACACAAGACATAAAAGGCAGAAATGAGGTTTGAACGTGGACTGCCTCTCTCTTAGGTCCTCGTTCCTAAGCTCCACGTCTTGGCAGAACCAGATGTAAGCTCTTTGGGATACAACCTTCTCCATCCTGCCCTGCCCACTGCTGTACCCCTGGCACCCAGCACAGTACCCAGAACGTGGTGGCTACTACAAGAGAATGTGCACTTCAGCTACCCCTAAAGATTGATCCAAATTGCAACTTTGAGCTGTCTGACAAAGGGGAAACCCATTCTAAGATGAATGGATTTTAGAGTGCCTGCTTTTCCCAGTAGCCTCTTACCTCCAGTCCTGAATCCGCCACACAGACAGCACTAGTTTCATCCACGGATAAAATCTGTTACATAACTACATGGCAGACATGAGTGTGAATAGTGAAGCAACCCAAGAGTGGCATTTGGCCACTCTCAGTTTCCAAAGGATGGCTCACAGAAAGAACTTTTCATCTTCCTGTGAGCTTCCCTCGGCATGCAAACTTTCCTTCATCTCCTCTCCTTGGCGCTTTCTATATTTTATTTTATTTTATTTTATTTTGGTCCTGCACATTATTTGAAGTTACTATAGCAACGTGTCATCAGCTGGAATCGCATAGTAATGTTGGCATTTAGGTAGCAAGCTCCCAAAGTTGGCTGTTTCTCTCCCTCTGGCATATCATCACTCCCACTAACCCCAGGTGGGGGGATGCCTCCACAGCAGTCAGGCCCTCTCCCCTATTTCATTTCTTCTCCGAGGCAGGACAAACTGATAACCTCTGCTTTGGCTCACCCAGCACTGTAGGACTTGTGTGTGTGTGTGTGTGTGTGTGTGTGTGTGTATAGGTGTGTTTGCATTAGAGGTTATTAAATAGATATGTTTAACTTGAGTGTTACATACTAAAACTATTGACATTATCAATATGATGATGATGATGATTTTTTAATGCAAAGAAGAGATTACAATGATTTGAGGAAGGCTGCTTCCAGATTAAAGTCATCTAGTATCCCATCTAATTTTGCTCACACAATATTGTGCCTGTCTCTCTCTCTCTCTCTCTCTGTCTCTCTCTCTCTCTCTCCCCCCTCCCCCTCTCCCCCCGCCCTTTCCCTCTTTCCTATCACACAGTAAAGAGACCCTCACTGTTTTCCCTTGGAGTTCTATCCCTCTCCCAAGTGTGTAAGACCTGGCTGCATGCTGATGGGCTGAATTAATTAAAACAATCGATCGTCTTGGACACTGAAGAGGGTTCTATATAGCAAATAAGCCCCGCCACTCATGGCATTAAGTGGCCCCTCATCAGCCAAGTGCCTGTGATGAGACTGTACTTATTTTTACACATTTGACCTAGTTTCAAACTGTGTCTCCTCATGCTGTGATTCATTAGCCACATTTTAAACCACCCCAATAGGAGTGAGGTGATTCTGCCTGGTTTGCGCCAGAGTCTCAGATTCAGTATCTCTCTGGAATTTAATATGCAAGTCCCACTGGTGTTCTGTTTTAAGAAGCAATTTCCTATCCAAGCACCTGGCATGCTGCTTGGGTATGGATGAGTGGCTGCCTCATGGCTTGGTAGTAAATATATGTCGATTACAGGATTTCTGCCAGGGATAGGAAGAGGGGGATTCTCATTAGTCTGAACTACAGGGGATCCCCTATCCCTCAGTCCTCCATGCAGTATTCAGGCTTTTCCAGATTACTGGTGAGGCTAGTTTGGGCTCCTAAGCTATAAAGTTTGAGCAGTGTCAGTGTTAGGGTTCTTTTGGTTGCTAGAACAAATGCACTCTGATCACCACCTCCACCCCAATTCCTTTCTAATAAAGTAAGAGATGGTGGTTGTGAAAGTATGGTCTCAAACTTGTAAAAATGGACAGGGGAAAATTGCTATTTTGAGGATTCTATTGGAAAAGAGATGCACGTCAGAGAAGCATAATGTTATTCCATCATTCTGTCATTGTGTGACAAAGTATTTTTTAATTCAAGTGACAGAAGATTTTCTGAACACGAAGCTGCTACTGGTGTCTCGCTCCATTTCAGATATCAGTTGTTCATGTCTGTGTGATTTCTGAAGGATCTGATACGAAAGTGAGCTAGACACTGTAGTAGAAAAACAGGATGGTCCCAGTTGGAAGTAAAACATTGCCATTTTTCATTAACAGCCAAATGCAGGTAACTTGTCCAAACTTTCAGTCACATTGCACTACAAATTCTACTGAAAGGCACCCAGCTGGGTTTTTCTATGTGGCAGTTAGAACAAAGAAATTAAGCTGGCAAAAGTAATTTTGGTTGATTGCTGAACTCTTAACACATTGACCAACTCCTAATGAAATGATGATGGTTTCTGTCATAAAATGGTCACTCTCTAATGGGGATGAGACTTCCTCTCCTTTCTTTTTTCTTTCTTTCCTTTTTTCCTTTTAAATCTAAGCATAGAAGTTTCCCTAAATGGGATTTAGAGAAAGCAGTCTTTTAAAGGTAATTCCTGGCAACTTAAGCTCCGGGGTTTGCCTTTTCTGTTTTTACCCTCTTCAAATTCAAATCAAGCCATTGGAAATAACAAGCATTCCGTATCTATGCATTTGGGGCAGCCTGCAGTTTTGACAATGGTGGATTTTTCCCCACACAACACTACACACACCCATACAAACTCATGATCCTAGAGCTCATTTAAACCAAAGCTTTAAAAGTAAACTACTGTCCAAGAGACGACAGCATTCTCTTAGAAGATGATCGATCACAAAAAAATAAACCCCACATCTCTTACCTTGAAGCAGTGGAATTACCTGCAGAGGCTGTCCTCCATCCTTGCACGACGAGCCTGGCTTTAAGCGGCAGCAGAATAACTCCAAAAGAGGGGGAAAAAAGTCCTTTATATTGTAATTTTCACTGTTTATATGCAAGAAGTGTAGTGGGTCTGCTCACGTAGGAATAAATAAAAAGCCGAACAAACTGCACAGCAGCTACCATGTGAAAAGAAAAGACCTCTAGTGGCCACAGGCTGAATTCTTTAAGGGAGGGAGAGAGAAGAGCTAGAGGGAATAGAGTGAGTGTAAACACACACTCACACGCTCACACTGCTACACCTCTACACCCACCAAACTCTAGGATTCGTCCTGTCTCTCGTTGTTCATCCTAGCCGGAGGTATAAACAGAAGTTTGTTTTGTGATTTCAATGAGACCTGGTTAGGTAGGCAATCATGGGGATTTTCAGTCTGCTTTGAAAGGGGTGAATAATTTCACACACTCACTACCACCCCTGGAGGCCTGAGCAGAGGCTTTTACTGTGGACCATCAAGAGCGTAAAACCCACAAAGTATCACGGGCCAGTGCTCAGGAGAGTTCCGACTCTGTGCTTTGCCAGATTTGCATCTTTTCTAAACAGCTTTGGTGTGCAAGTGTGGTAGTGACAGATCAGCAGGGCCAGCTTCCTGTGTGTGTGCGCCCTCCTTCATTGTACAGAGTCCCTTGCTTTAAAAGACCACATGGCTGTTCAGAAATTCTCAAAAGTTTGAAAAAAAGAACCCTACACTTTTATTTTCTTCAAGGTCCCACAACTTACATAGCTATTCCTGAATACCATCCCTAACTTTCTTTTTCTTTTTTTTTTTGGTACCAGGGACTGAATTTAGGACCTTGTGGTTGCGAGGCAGGAGGCAGCATCACTGAGCTAAATCCCCGGCCCCATCCCTAACTTTCCAATTGAAAGAACCTGGAAGCAAAACTGCATCCATATCTTTGGGAGCTACTTTGGTGAATAACCATTATTTAGTTACCAAAAAAGCTTCCTGGTGAAAAATGCTGAAGGGGCTTTCTGGGGTCATCAAGATATTTTTCTACCACTGATGGAAAATTGTAAACCTGTAATCTGGTGTGTATATGCAGATATCTATATATTTATATATACGTATATGTATGTATGTATGTGTGTGTGTGTGTGTGTGTGTGTATATATATATATATAGTGGGATTGAACTCAAGACCTCGTGCTTGCCAGGCAGGCACTGTGCTGCTGAGCTACATCCCCAGCCCTGGTTATATTTTTTAATAAAGGAGAACTTTTTATAAACAAAGGCAGCAGTTTGTTACACTAAACCCATTGTTTTGTTGTTTAAACACAATACTTCCAAGCCTAACTTTAACAGCAGTGACTCCTGGAGATGCCTGCATCATGCCAGTCAGGCCATCTTCTGCAAGTCCATCCTGGGTGGGTCACAGTGGACCCTCTTCTTGCCAAGATTGCAGCCCCAGTGGGATGCTGCAGAAGGCAGTTGAGAGTGGCTTCTCTCCCCTTTAGGATCAGTGATCATTGTTTCCTTCACAAATTCCAGACTAGACCTCTTCCCATGTTGCTTTAGGTGACAGCACAAGCAGAAAACACACCTGAAAAACACACGTTACCATCTGGGAGGGAAAAAGCATTAAAGGCTGGCTGTGTATTTTGGTTCTTACCCCTCCTCTCCCAGGGATCCTTCCAGACCCACTTCCTCTCCAGATCTCCACCATAATTTCCCTCTTGTCTGGATCCTTCTGGCCTTTGGTCTGCTTCACAGATCCAGCATCCTGTACTTTCTCCTTCATAAAAGTTAATCATGTTTTTCCCAACTAGATCATCAACTCACAAAAAGCAGCACCATCTCTTCTCATTGTTTAAATCCTCCTTAGATAGAACATGTGTGGATCCCTGTGGGTGCAGGGTTCTCTCACGGGCTGACTCCAATACCAGGTCCTTCTGCAGAGAACTTTAATGTGCTCCAGTGTACTATAGGGGTATCTGATCCTTTTGGCAATTTCTCTGGGGGAAGATATGGACAGTCCAATGGATTATTGTCTCACATTACAGATAAGACAGTTGGGATTTATATATATAACACTGTGTATCAGAAAATGAAGCTGCCTCCGGGATCTTGACATAAGCTGGATTTTCTGACACCCATGCAGTGCTCTTTTCCTAGTGTACAAGCAGCAAAACAGATGATGGATCACATCTTATTTTTATAATTGAAGCTCTGATTGCAATCCCAGGCACGTAATAAGTGTTCAATGAATGCTTTTTCAGTAAATGAGCAATAAGGAGACATTTTCTCATAGGGAAGTTTTACATACTGATCTGCTAAGGAGAGTTTCTCCATCGCTTTCAGACTTATCAGGGATGGTTGGGTGTTTTTCAGTGTGAACCCAAAGAAGTGGAGAAGATTGATTTCATGGTTCTTTTCCCACTCATTCACAGTGTCTTTCTTTATTTCTTGCAGAGTCATTTTGTGGCATGCATGACAGCCATCTTGGACCAGATGGGTGACCAACACTATTCCTTCTATATTGAGACCTTCCAGACCAGCTCAGACCTTGTGGTGAGCCTGCAGGATTCTGGGGGTGATAGGGCAGGGGAGAGAAGTGTGACATATCATACTTTTGGTTCTCATGGGTTTAGGAACAAGAGGGTCTCCCCACACATTTTGATTATGTGTGTGTGTTTCAAGTTATAAATGTGTATGTCTGATTCCCTGTCACCTCTGGAGCATGTCTTTAATCCATGTCAGACCTGACTGTCTACCACATAACCTGTGTGACTACTGTGAGCTAACCTCCCTTAAGCCTCAGTTTCCCATCTGTAAAGTGGGGATAGTATTTTTATATCAATGTTGTAAAGGAGTTGCATGAGAACATGGTAAGGGCTTGATAAGAGAAAGCGATTACATTATGGTAACAAATGCAGAGAGGAAGTTGGCCACTGAGTCCTCCTCTTCTCACCTCTCAGGACTTATTTGCCAGACTGTCTGCCTGCAGTGTGTGCCTCTGGCTCCCACCTCTGCAGCAGATGGCTTTATCAACATATGGACCAGCCCATGCTATCACTATCCTAGGGGTATAGCAGAGCACACTTTGCTCTCAGTGTGGTCACCTTTGTCACTATCGCCTTAATGCTGCCAGACTCAGGAGTCCTGCTATGGGGAGCTCTCTACTCTTGGTTCTCCTTGGAGCCACCAAGGACTCTAGCAGTTGACAGTCTCAGAGAGTGGCCCGTCACAGGGAATCATGAGGAAGCCATTGCCTTTCCCTTTCCCTTTCATCCACTTGCAGCAAGGCACTCTCCTCATTGGATTAGGATTGGGATCTTTTCCCTGGATTTGCAAAAAAACATAAAAATAGGAAGCCAAATAACCTGCGTCTCTTCCCTCACATCTCTGTGTCCTGCAACATGGAAATAGAACTAATTTTTTACTTTTTATGGAAAGAAAATTTTCTTGGTAAGGGATGTGGAAAGGGGATTCTATTTTATTAAACATGCACATTTTCTTATTACCAGCCTCACAACAGTATGACATAGGAGTTGGGACTCATAGTTTTCAAGTCTACAACCTGCTTGCTCAAGTCTCCGTAGTGAATGTATAACAGAGGCTGGATCTGAACCTTGGTGTTTACCCTTGCACCTTGCTGTTCCTTCTCTTTGAGAAGCCACATGGCCCATCCATGAGGTGAAAGCCTTCTTCACCCCTACAGCAAGGGGATGTATAGTTCGGATCTGTCATGAGACCCAAACTTCCCCAAGTGCTATCGAGGATAGATAATAATACCCACCATCATCCTCACCCAGCATGTAATGAGCATTTACAAGACTCCAGGCCCCATGTTAAGCATCTAATAAGAACATGCACTTAATCTGCATAGTAACCCCCTCAAGATAGATGTACCCCCATTCTGCTGATGTGGAATCTGGGACTTAGACCACTGAGATAATTTTCCCTAGAAGCAAAGATTGCTAGAAAGGAACCAATGTCATTTCCAGAATTTTGCACTTTAGCATAAAGCAGTAATTTTCAAACTATGTTTTTCTTAGCCTCACTATCGTATACCATAGATATTCACACATGCACACACACTCACACACTTCAACCAGGGTTAATCTACTTTTATTTATTTCATATATTGGGTGGCAGGTGAGATTTCCATTGAACAAAGAATTCTGCAGTTAAAATGATATGAAAAACCACTGCTTAAGGAAAGAATTCTGAGTAGGCCCCATCTGGATTTTAGGCTTTACCTAAAACATCCCGGTGATATGGCTTCATTACCTCCAGCTTAAGAGGGCTGGTGATTCTGGTCTTTGTCCTGAATTTGTTTTCTGGAAAGATGGAGACCAAGTTTGGCCCACTGGAAAATCTGATAGAGTATGTTAAAAATCCACTTTGAACCTCTTCTAAGGAAAGGAGAAGAGTCCTTGTCACTGCACTTCCTTTAAACTGCTCATGTGCATGAGTGTGACAGAAGAATTAGCTCTGTTTACAGCACTGCTAATTAGATGTTCATTTAAATAATAGTTTGCTTGCTCAATGACCTGAGAATGCTTTCATATAGTGTAGATTATTTCCTTCTTAAATACATATTTGGGAAAATGATTATAAAATTGCCACATCAATGAATACATTTGCTTCTTTAGTCTCAAAGACAGAATTAATAGTGCTTTATTTTCAGAATGTCTTCTCATTCCATGTTCATGTTCCACTTATTTGTGAAGCAGTCTCCTGGTAGCTAACTTTTTTTTTTGGTACTGAGGATCAAACTCGGGCCTTTCGCTTGTGAGGCAGGTGACAGAACCACAGAGCTAAATCTCTGGCCCATTAAATAACTTCCAATTCCTTTTTTTTTGTACTGGGTATCAAACTCAGGACCTTGCACTTTTGAGGCAGGTGCTGGAACCACTGAGCTAAATCCCCAGCCCATAACTTTTAAGCTTCCATTTACAGTCTACTGCAATGAGTTTCACCGAACTGCTCAATGAAAACTGTGCCACTTCCCTTTCTGTCCCTCTAAAAAATAATACAAATTTAAAGAGCCAACAAGATCTGGACATGCACTGTCAGTTCCTATGGGGCAGGATAACAAGTGGGGTTTTGTGTTACTCTTCCAGGACTTCTTGATGGAGACCTTCATCATGTTCAAGGACCTCATTGGGAAGAA